ATGCGGGACTCGATCCCAGGACCCCAGGATCATGACCTGAGCCGAAGGCAGACACCACCTAAGGACTGAGCCACCCAGGCGCCCTATTGTGGGGATTAAATACACACTTTTAAACTAGCACAAAACAGACACTCAACAATTGTCTTCCATCTTCCTTTCACCTAAAAGGTGATCACACACCGTGAGAAGTATTTACACACCTGCCACGCCAGGTCCCCCATATTCATTACACATTCTTCAGTTTTATGCACTTTCAGTTGGTAAATCTGGCCTCTGCCCATTAACAGGAGAAACATGCAAATTAACAAACATTTGCATATATACTATCAGCCATAATTATTGTGGTTTGAAATAAAATTTCTAATTTATTATAGTCATTATTGGTGAGCAATACGCCCAGGGTTTTTACTCTGCATGTTTCAGGAGTTTCTCAAGACTACATTTCTCAAGAAAGGCCTGCCACAAGTCATTACTGCCAAAAATGTCAGTTTGCAACAAGGCCCAGGGGCTTGTTTAAACTAAGAAAAAACACAAGGAACCCAAAGGAGATTCTAAATACATCTACCAGTGGCTATTCTCATTTACAGACATTAACCGAATTCAGACTGGTTACAAGTGAGTATGGAACCTCTATGAGCACGGAACCTGAAAAATCTTCATTTGGTTTATGTGTTTCAGGACCAAGAGAAAGCCCTGCCCCCCAAAAATCATCTCAGCTCCCTATCATCCTTGCAAACATTTAATAATATCTGTACATAACTAATTCTTAGCCTTATGAGATTCATAATATAACGATTAATACTATAAGTTATATATGACTGTCAAAACACATTAATAATAAATCCAATAATTCATTAACTGTCTGCTAGTACCTTCCTTAATCTACTTTTGGATTCTGCTGAATTCAAGGTAAAAAAAAACAAAGCAATAACTACGTAACAGTGACCTATGGAAGCACTATAATTTACCATTAGAAAAGTGTCTGATACAAATGATTTCAGTGGATCCCCCAACAAGTTTGGGATAGGAGGACAGAAAAACAGACTAGGAAATGGAGTCTCAGCAAGGTGCCTTGCCCAAGGCCACACAGCTGATGGGGCAGAATTGGGCCTCCAAGCCTGGGGTTCTAATTCCAAATACAGTGTTCTTTCTGCCACCACCTGAAGCTGTATGTGATCATAAAGGAGTGATGGTGTTTTAATTAAGGAGAAAATATTACGAAGCAGCTTCAAAAAGGTAGTACTGATAAGCTGCATCTTATAAACAACAAAAGAAGTGCTTAATTTAAAAGTCTTGAGAGAATATAATATTCAGAAGGTAGACAGTCAATCTAAACAGCAATAATTTATTTTTCCAATACACAGTATACAAAGATAGTGTTCAAATAAACTTTTGGAGTTGTTCACAGTGGTGAAATTCACACATATAAAATAAGCCATTTTGGTGAACAATTCAGTGGCACTTCACACATGCAGGATGTCGTACCACCACCACCTCTATCTGGTTCCAAAATATCTCAAAAGAAAACGATTACCCAGTTGATTCCCCACTGCCCCCTCCCTGTGGCTTCCATCTGGTTCTTATTTTCTTGTGATACTATGTAAGCGTTAAGCACCTGTGTGGCACATAGGACTCCTTATTAATAGTTCCTAACCTGACTACAGAGCTTCGGAAAAGTATAGACATTAGGGTCCCACCTATGGAATGAGGATCTCAGGGACATCACAAGCATCTGTATTGTTACTGTGAATCAGTGAGTTAAATATGTGGTGGCCAATTCATACCTTGGAAGACTTACCACTTAAATTCCCATTTTAAGTACTTAATTCTCAGAGATGATATTAGAGTTGACCCTCCTTCTTACTCATCTTATTTAGTAGTGACTTTTTTTTCTACACATACATATGCGTGTGTGTCTCTCTCTCTATATATAGAAAAATATATATGTGTCTGCATATATAAAGACACACACACACAAGGTTTCCTGCAAAATGTCAGCAACACTTTATGGGAAATGGAATCATAACTGATCTCTAATTTAAAAACAAAACAAAATATTTTTTATTTTATTTTTTTTAATATTCTTGCCTTTTTTTTTTAAAGATTTATTTATTTGAGAGAGAGCATGAGAGGGGAGGGCCAGAGGGAGAAGCAGACTCCCTGCTAAGCATGGAGCCTGATGCAGGACTCGATCCCGGGACTCCAGGATCATGACCTGAGCCGAAGGCAGTCGCTTAACCAACTGAGCCACCCAGGCGCCCCTAAAACAAAATATTTTTTAAAGACTCTATTGCCATATGGCCTCATGCCATCTCACTGATTAACTCTCTGGTTTCCTGTCACTACTTATTTGTTTTACTAGCTTAGTTTTTGTTTTTTGTTTTGTTTTGTGGGGCTTTTTTAAGATTTTATTTATTTATTTGACAGAGATAGAGCAGGAACACAAGCAGGGGGAGTGGGAGAGGTAGAAGCAGGCTCTCCGCAGAGCAGGGAGCCCGATGCGGGGCTCGATCCCAGGACCCTGGGACCATGACCTGAGCCTTTCGGGCTCCATCCCAGGACCCTGGGACCATGACCTAAGCCGAAGGTGGACACTTAACCGACTGAGCCACCCAGGCGCCCCTACTAGCTTAGTTTTAATGGCTACTTTTGGTGACTTTGTCTTCTGTCAGTTTTTTTTCTTTTTTTAAGATTTTATTTTTAAGATTTTGAGAGAAAGCAACAGCGAGCCAGCGAGTGGGCGAGCACAAGTGGGGGGTGGGAGGGGCAGAGGGAGGAGAAGGAGAAGCAGGCTCCCCGCTGAGCAGACACCTGGCCACGACCCCGGGAGGGATCACGACCTGAGCCAGGATCATGACCTGAGCCGAATCAGACGCTTAACCAACTGAGCCACCCAGGCGCCCCTATCTTGTCAGTTTTGATATTAACTTTTCAGTTAGATCAAAACCCAAAAGTTCTGGGTTCAAATGCAAATACTCAACTAGAGCTCAAAACAGCGTGGAATTGCCTCCCCCGGGGTTTTGAATCAAGTGGACGGAGCACACACCCATTTGTCCCAATTCAGATGTACCACCGCCATAAACTCATCTTCCACAAATGAGTGTCCATTCCTGCATCCCTGGTTAAACTGTACGAAAGTACCTTCTATTCAATTACAGTTTTTAAAAGTTAGATAGGAATAGGGTAAAAATTACCTTTGGGCTCCTCTTTTCCTTTCCCAACGCTAGGACTAGATTATTGAGCAGTTAAGCCTACTGCCCGCCTTCCCAGGTTAATGTTTGCTGGGTCAAAGAAAGAATACTTTAGGGACACCTGGGTGGCTCAGTCGGTTAAGCATCTGCCTTTGGCTCAGGTCATGATCCCAGGGTGCTGGGATGGAGTCCTGCATCGGGCTCCCTGCTCGGCGGGGGGCGGGCCGCTCCCCCTGCTTGTGCTCTCTCTGACAATAAAAAAAAAAAAAAGAAAGAAAATTTTAGCTAACTACCAGAGAGTATCAGCAGTCGGTCAAACATGCAAACAAGATTCCAGCTAAGGCTGCGATAGGAGACATTATGTCCAGTACGCCATGCTGGCCATAGCAGGCTGAGACAGGGCTCCGGCTATCTCAAGCTGAAATCTCTGTTCAGTAAACTGAACCATTTCTTTGTTTTGGAGTGCTCTTTAGAGGGGTTTTTCTCACACACATTAACTTCCTAGCACCATTTTTTGGGAAAATCCCAACTCTACTCAAGTCCCAAGAATGACAGGCCAACAGAGTCAGGGAGATCGGTGTCCTTAGCAGTCACTAGTGTCTGGACGACATCTCAGCCTGAGATCCAGGGAAGGGATTATAACTTTGCAAAAACTCCAGTGTCAGGGATAGCAGTGCCTGTGGATCACTTCCCACTTTGCACTCCTCTTTAGGCCAACCCTCTAGCCAGACTAAACCTGGGGACCACTTCTCTGCTGCGTTATAAACACAATGCTAATAACCACAGCCATCGTTATTGAATATCTTATATGTCAGGCATGGCTATACATTTTCCACATTAAGGATTTTATGTAATCCTTACAACCCTATGAAAGAGGTACCATTAGCCACATTTCACAACTGAGGAAAGACAACCTGAGAGGAAAAGTGACTTTTCCGTCACACAGCTACGAAGTCTGCAAACTAAAGTCTCCCTGAGGGAACACATGATCTTTCCTCTATGTACTACAGAGCCAGACACTATTTTCCAAAGGTTGTTGAAAAACATTAGCAGGTGGTAGTGTCGAAATTCTGCACATTCGGAATAAATGTATGATTTTCCTGCAAAGGAAACACAAACTTTCCACCTACTTTTTTTAAGTGTTTCCTGAGTGGAAATGTCTATACCAATTAAGGATTCCAAAAGATTCTCCCTACACTTAAGATATGTACCATAGCCTCTCTCCTACATTTTCTCTTACTCAGTACTTATTTTCTCTTTACCTCATTTGCACAGCTGCAAAGAGAGGTAAAATATAGTACAGTAATTGCTTCTGGAACTTCGGAAAGCTTTCCAAGTTTCTGTTATATATTTAATTCTGGATAAGTTCTTTCGAATTTACTTGTGTTTCCTTTTCAGTCTGCAGTCTTAAAACTGGAATCACTGTCTCTAAACTTCTGTGACCTCTTAAATCTTTGTTCCCCATATGTCTGCCTTTCACAGACTCTTATTTCCCATTCTCTTTAAAGGTACAGTATAGAAAATAAGCTCATCACAGACTTACAAAACAGGGAATTTAAAAGGAATCTTAGAAGTCATTCCTCATTTCATAAGAATTAATTGAGCCCACGACCACAAAACTTGGCAGAGGCAAAGCCAAGACCACAATTCATGCCTTTCAATTCTTTTCACTACCTGAGGAAGATGAATCTAGAATCTGTAGGACAGTCCCAACACTCTTCTGCTATTCTTGCCCAGGAGCAACAATGCTGAACACTGCAAATGCTTTACATGAACTCAACACCTGGAAAGACGCTAAAATCCAGAGCTACATTAACCTTCCAAGCAAATGAAGTGAACCCTTCCCTACAAACGTGAAGCAACCTGGCGTGTCCCAGGAGCAATTCCGAGTACAGTGTGCCCTCTCCCAGAGTAGGAAGCTCTTGGGGACCCGGGTTGCGCACTCTGAATAAACCGCGAGTGGGAGGGATGCAGAGGCAGGAAAAACACACCGTGGGGGCCGGGGCGCACACGCTGAGATGCCACCCACACGGGCCTCACACTTGGGACCTGTGACGCTGAAACATAAGTCACCCCTCGCCGCCAAGTGATGAGGCCCTGGAGCCGGCGCCCCTGCCGGAAGAGCGCGACCCAGCCCCGGAACTTCGAGCCCCAGGGAGCCGGGCTCCGCACGGGAACCGGGGAGCAGCGGCAGCCCCCGAGCACGCCCCGCCGCGTCGGCGCTCTCCCGGGCCGCAATCCGACCGCAGTCCCATCCCCGGCCGAGGCCGACCGGAGGCGCAGCACCGGCCGCGGCCGGGCAGGGAGTCCCACGCCGACCGGTTCCGGACGCCGCGGCGAAAGGGGGGCGGGCCGGCAGAGGGGCGACCCGGAGCAGGCACGGAGCTGTCAGCGCGACCGCGGCCCGGTGGTCAGACACTTACCCGGCGGCGACGGCTCCGCCACTCCTGCTACCGCGCCCCGCTGCACCCGAAGCTAGCCGGCACCGGAGCTGGAAAAAAGGCTGCTGAGCAGCGGGGGCGGCTCAGGAGCCGGCGCGCGGCCACGCCCCCCTCCGCGGCTCCCATTGGCCGCCCCGGCCGCGGCCACGCCCATAGCAGCCGGCGACTGGCTGGCCTCGGAGGGACCCGGGCACTGAGTAGCCGCTCCAGGCGGACAAGGGTGGGAGCTGAGGGAACTCGGTGATGCCTCCCACGGCCTCGGGTCCCGGCTCCGCAGTGAAAGAGAAACTTGAGGGAATGCACCGAGAGCCTCGGAGCTGGAGGCTTCTCAGAGTGCTGTTTCCCTATGGCCATGTTAACGTCCGCAGAGGAAGGAAACACTCGCTTTTTTTTTAATCCCAGCTTTTTAGTTTGAAAAAATTTACGAACCGACCGAAGAGTTGCAAGAATAGTACTATGAACAGTATACCCTTCATTCAATGCACCATTTCACATTTGCGTCCTCTCTCACTATATAGGTTCCCCCCCAACCTTTGGAAAGTTGCACGCAATGCTGCTTCACCCCTAAATATCTCACTATTATCACATGCAAGAAATTGAATACCTTTTCTGTCATATCATTCAACATACCGTCTATATTTAAATTTCCTTTATTGTCTCAAAAAAAAAAAAAACATATCTATGGGCACCCGGGTGGCTCAGTCGTTAAGCGTCTGCCTTCGGCTCGGGTCCTCATCCCAGGGTCTTGGGATCGAGCCCCGCGTCGGGCTCCCCGCTCCGCGGGAAGCCTGCTTCTCCCTCTCCCACTCCCCCTGCTTGTGTTCCCTCTCTCTCTGTGTCTCTCTCTGTCAAATAAATAAAAATCTTAAAAAAAAAAAAAAGAGGAGGACATGGGCAAGCCATGGTATCCTCAGCTCTTATAAAAAAATAAAATAAATTTCCTTTATTGTCTCAAAATGTCATACAATTGCACACGTGCACACACACGTCTTTGAAAATTCAGGATCTATCCAAGATTCACCCGTTCGGTTTAACACCGTGCCTCTCTAGAAACTCCTTTTATCTACTAGAACTTCCACTTTTTCAAAATCTTTCGTAGCTTTGACATATTTGAAAAGTCCAGGCCAATTGTCTTGTAGACTTTATCAATTTGGATTTATCGAGTTGTTTCCTCATAATTAGATTCAGGTTAAACATTTTAATAGGAAAATGGGAGGTGATGTGTATTTCCATGAGAAGGCACAGTGTTCTTTTATCCGTGCTGCCAAGTTGGATCACTTGGTCAAGGCATCTGGCAGATCTCTCCACAAAGATATTGTCAGGGGGCGCCTGGGTGGCTCAGTTGGTTAAGCGACTGCCTTCGGCTCAGGTCATGATCCTGGAGTCCCGGGATCGAGTCCCACATCGGGCTCCCTGCTCAGCAGGGAGTCTGCTTCTCCCTCTGACCCGCTTCCTTCTTGTGCTCTCTATCTCTCATTCTCTCTCTCTCAAATAAATAAATAAAATCTTAAAAAAAAAAAAAGATATTGTCAGAAGCTCAGAAATGATAGAAGTAAAGCGAATGAATTACCAAACCAGTAATCAGTAAAAGTTTATTGTGCACACGTCAGACAGTTTGCAAATTGGGAGCACTCAAACCAAAACACGGAAAGAGGCTCAGGAGTATGTTATAAAGCAGCTTATATAGCGAGAAAGCAGTGACTGTTTGTTCTTCACGGGGATTGGTTATAATATTAGAATTTTCTTAAATGACAGGGAATTGGTCAGTGGTTACCTCATGTCAACCTTAAGAAACAGTTCAAGCCTCGCATATGATTTCCAGAGGCATAAGCAAGAAATTACCCAGGTCAAGTTAGTCTTGCAAATTAAGCTTTGTATGATTAAACTGTTTTTTTGGTCCGTTCAGAGAATGTTCAAAAGCTGACCTCCGTTTTTGTTTTTTGGTTTTTTTTTTTTAACAATATCCCTCTCCCACTGCAGCAGAGACTATCTGCAGTGACAGGCTGAACTGGGGAAATATTTTTCCTGGGGGGGTGTAGCACACACGGATGAAAGCTTATAGAATTGGTTATAAAGTGGTGATTTTTTTAATGCTGTCATTCCTTCTGTCTACCTTTTTTCTCCTTTTCTCTTTTCTCCCCCTGCTTCTCATTCTTCTTCCCTTCACAGCTCCCCTCCCCCACCTTCTCCTTTTTGAGTAATGGTGTGTGGACGCCTGAATTTTTTAAATTCAATTTAATTCAGTTACTATAAACAAATACCATTATTACTTTTGGTGCTCAAATTGCCCATATTTGGCCAGTGGAAGCCCCCACACCTGGCTCCTTTATTCTTTATATAATATCGTATCAATCTTTGAGCACTTCCTTGTTCTCTGACCCAAGACCTGCTAACACTTCATTGAATCTTCTCTGCCCTAGGCAGGAAAACCCTAGTTGCTTTTGGGAGGAAATGGCACTTAGAAAATCAGATCTGAGTACTTGTGCTCATGGCTACTGGGATGTCATTCTTCTAGGCCCTTCCAGGGGACGAAGCATATATATATTTATGGAGATACAGATGTAATGCAGTAAACAGTATACCCCTCACTCAGATACAGTTGTTTTTTTTAATTATTTTTGTTTTTTTTAAAGATTTTATTCATTTCTTTGACAGAGAGAGACACAGCGAGAGAGGGAACACAAGCAGGGGGAGCAGGAGAGGGAGAAGCAGGCTTCCCCGCCGAGCAGGGAGCCCAACATGGGGCTCGATCCTAGCACCCTAGGATCACGACCCGAGCCGAAGGCAGACGCCTAACGACTGAGCCACCCATGCGCCCCTCAGATACAGTTTTAAATCATGAATTCATACCTCCAAGTCAAAATCCAACACCATGGGATTCATTCTAGTCTTCCTCTCCGTATTTATATCTTCCTTCTCCCTCAATGAAAACCCTAGCTCACGACAGCATCAATACATTTGCTCATTTATTCTACAATATACAGAAACTCGATGAGACTCACATACCAGTACTACCACTGGCAACAAACCTTCTAAGCTCAAGATTTCTTGGCAGTTCCCTGTATCTTTATACTACATCCTTCTAAATGGTGTATTCAAAGACTACTGTGTTCAGAGTTTACTTGAATTCATTGCTTTTTGCTATGGTTATGTTCCTTATTTGATATGTTAGGTTGGTTATTTTTATGTGCATCAACTCTAGAGTTTGCTTTTTTCATCTTTTTTGTTCAGTTTCATTTTTTGAATGTATAAAGCATCCACATGGTTCAAAATAAATCTTACAAAGGTTAAACTCCCTCCCCATTCCCTGCACTCCGGTTCCACTCACCTCCTAGCAGTAACCACTTTCCTTAGTTTCTGGTTTATTCTTCCACCATCCCCAAGTTAAAAATCTATAGAGCTATATATAAGTATATTTGTTAGTTATCTATTGCTGTATAACTAAGCTTACCGGCTTAAAACAAGCGTGCATTAGCTTACAGTTTCGGTGGATCAAAAATCCAGAGGGGCTCCGGTAGGCACCTATAGCTCCAGGCCTCCCAAGAATACAGTCAGGGTGGCACCTGGGGGCTGCAGGCACCTCAGGCCTTGAGTCGCGGAGAATCTACTCCCGAGCACACTCAGCCTGGCTGTTGGCAGGCCTTAGGAGGTCCTCTTTCAAGCTCACTCACATGGCTCTTGGCAGGCTTCAGGTCCTCACTGGCCACTGGCCAGTATTCATTTCCTGGGGCCTGCCATAACAAATGACCACAAACTGGATGGCTCTGAGAAACAAGAATTCATTCTCTCACAGTTCTGAAGGCTAGGAGTCCAAAATCGAGATGAAGGCAGGGCCATGTTCTCTCTGCAGGCTCTAAAGGAGAGTCTTCCCTTGTCTTTCTCCTAGCTCTGAGCCATTGCCAGCTGCCCTTGGCATTCCCTGACTTGCAACTGCATAACTTCAATTTCTGCATCTGCCTTTACATGATGTTCTTCCATCAGTGTATGTGTCTCTGTGTCCCAGTTTCCTTCTTCTACTGACATGAGTCAGGGGTGTAGGGCTCACCCTAATCCAGCATGACCTCATCTTAACCTGATTATATCTGCAAAGACCCTATTTCCAGTATGGTCATATTCATAGGTACCAGCTGGTTTAGAACTTCAGCATATCTTTCTGGTGGGCACAATTCAACCCACAAGAGCCAGAATTCTGTTTCTTGCATTGTGGCCCCTCCATGTAATTACTCACATGGCAGCTTGCTTTGCCCTGGAGGGGCAAGAGCGGGGAGAGACAGGGAAATCGATTCCAAGATGGAAGCCAATCATCTCTTTGTAACCTAATTTAACACTTCCGCTAGATTCTGTTTGCTAGAACCAGTTGATAAGTCCAGTCCAGACTCAAAGGGAAAGGATTACATATGATTACACGGAAGAGGCAAGGATCACTGGGGACCATCTTCAAGGCTGCCTGCCATAAATATGTATTTTTCCTTACTTCCTCTTCTTCCTTACATGAAAGGTAGCACACTTTATCCCACCTTGCTTTTTTCATGTAATGGTGTATAATGCATCCTGGAAATCATGCTAGAGCAGTTCACAGAAGCCTCTCTCATTGCTTCTTACTACAGCATTGTTCTTTGTCATGTGGATGGAAGCAGCGTATGTATTCAGCTTCCTGTGTGTGATGGGCAGGGTCCTAAGATGGGCGCCAGGATTCTTGGCCGCTGGTGCACACATACCTTCTCCCAACCGTTCAATCAAACACTCATCTAGGTATGGTAGTGAAAGGATTTTGATGCATGTAATAAAGTCCCAAATCAGTTGATCCCATGATAGCGAGACTGTCCAGTGGGCTGACCTAATCACACAGGCCCTTTAAAAGCAGAGTTTCCTCTAGCTGCTCTCAGAAGGGAAGTCAGAGCTTCAAATCACAAGGATTTGATGCACCGCTTTGAAGGTGAAGAGGTGCATGGCAAAGAATGCAGGTCACCTTGAGGAGCTGAGAGTGGCCCCCAGCTGACACCCAGCAAGGAAAGGGGATCCTCGGTCCTGCCACCACAAGAAACACTTTGATTTCGCCCTGTGATACCCTGAGCAGAGAACTCAGCCACCACGTCAGATTTCTGATGGAGAGGGCTATGAACTAATATGTAGCGTTGCTTTTAGCTAAATGTATAGTAATGTATTAGGCAGCAATAGAAAGCTAATACATATGACATGCAGGTTGTTTGTAATATTTGCTATGGCAAACAATGGCATAGTGAATAAACTTTTGCATGTATTGTTTTTATTGGAGGAGACAGAGCTTCAGGGTAAACTTCTGGGAGAATCGTTGGGTCAAAGAGTAAACACATATGTACAGAACCTACATCTATTGCTGCAAAGAGGCATGGCAGCGATCTTTATATTCATGGGTTTATTCCGGCCAAAGAGGTGTCACTTCCATTTACAGATGAGGGAATGAGATTCCCAGAGGTAACCTGCCTCTGCCAGGGCCCAGGGCTACCCCTCTCTCATTCCCTTCTCCTGTTTCTCCAGCAGCCTCGGGCTTAGGCTTAAGCATTCTTTACTCTCCAACTTGAACTCTAAATGAATCCTTGGAGTTTTGTCCACACACCGTTTTGTTATTGCTACAGCTTGGACATGCTTTGGGTATCACCTGAATCCTGACATAAAATCAAGCACCATCCCCAGCCTGTGGGGGAAAGTCACTGAAACACACCTTTCCTAGGGCAGAGAAAGAAGTACACGACGGGGCGCCTGGGTGGCTCAGTTGGTTAAACCGCTGCCTTCAGCTCAGGTCATGATCCCAGGGTCCTGGGATCGAGCCCCACATCGGGTTCCCTGCTCATGCAGGAAGCCTGCTTCTCCCTCTGCCTGCCGCTCCCCCTGCTTGTGCTCTCTCCCTCTCTCTCTCTCTCGCTCTCTCTCTCTCTGTGTCAAATAAATAAATAAAATCTTTAAAAAAAAAAAAAGAAGTACATGACGTTTGCTACCCCCATGCTCATCTCACCACATCTAGTCCTTCCAGACTCACAACTGTATGGCATCTGAATACAAAGTTACTGGATTTCCCCCTTCCTGTTGATCTTTACACACCCAAACTCCCCTGTTACCCTATGCCCCACCAGCCTCTGCTGATATACACACATAATATCTAGTAATTTATATTTAGTATTTAGTGATACACAATTCCCAACCTTTCAAGTATGAGGATCCCTTTGTAATGTAAGCTGAATTTTTAAAAACTTTGGAGTCCCTATAAAATAGATGGTAGTATTTTCAGCTTCCATCAAGAAAATACACATTGAACCTGAGGACCCTCTGAATAATCATGGGTCCCCCAAAGGGTCTTGATCCACAGGATGGAAATCACTGTTCTGGAAAACAGTAACTTGGCTACATCATCATAATTAGTTTAGAAACAAGTGTACAGTGCTGACAATACCGACTCCATCTTTGGCCCTCCATCTTGTTCATATCCATGCGATGACCCCCCTTGGGGCTTCATGTTCTAGACCCGTTGGAGGTTAATGTATGCCCTGACCAGAATGTGGGAAGGCTTGTTCTGGTCTTCCCTAACGTTGTTCAGATAACTAATAGAGATCATATACCTCACCCCCCACCCCCTCCCCATGCACAGATAGTACCATGAGGTCTGTTAAATGTTAATTATCAATTACGTGTATGCAGACCCTTTGACCTCATCACAATGCCCGTTGTACATCCCCTCGCTCTATACAATCTGTAGATAAATGTCTGGACTTAGTGGAGAATATCTGCATAGCATCTGGATTGTCATCCTCCATAGCGTCTGGACTGTCATCCGCCTGATTTCCCCGTCAGTAAGTTATCCTGAATAAAACTCTTTGTAAACTTGTATGGAGTCGCCTGCTTTGTTATTCAATCTCAAAATGCCTTCTCAATTTGGAGGATACTTTACTGTCCCTCCTCCACCACCTAAAAACAAGAATAGCAAAAAAGAAGCGGTAAGCCTGGAAAAACATCTACTAACTACTCAGTGCTAATCCATGCTGGGCACAACTAACCTTTCTTCTATTCTTTGCCTTCACTTGCCCTTACCAGCTCTTTGTGTATGGTGTTTATCTAAGTACAGTAAACACACCCAGATGGCAGTGCAGAAATGAAGACCTAGGTTCTACTCAATTCTGGCCACAACTTTATTAGCTCTCTGACCTTGATTAATTAATAACGTCTCTAAGTCTTCATTTGCCAAATGGAAATAGTACCCAACCTACAGAACGTTAAATGAGGTGATGTGTGCACAAATGCACTTTGTAAAATGTAAGTGCTCTAGAAATATATTCTAAATTCATCTGGCTATGTCACTTACCAGCTTACGGCTCTTCATTGGCTCCCCGGAGTCTTCAGGATTAAGGACAAACTCTCAGTCTGGCACAGAGGCCCCTCATTGTGTGGTCCTCACTGCTCCCCAGTCCAGGAATCTGGTTCCCCGTCCTCCTCACCTCCTCACCGGTCATCTTAAGTAGCTGGACTTTCATCCTTATTTCCAATTAAGACTTTTATTAGCACACCTGGCTTGCCGCTGTTCAGAGCAGTAAGGTGCTCAGAGTCACAAGCCAGGACTGCACTCCGTGAAGGGATTTTCCCAGTCCGCATGAAGAGCCGGGCAGGAGGGCCCAGCCCTCACCCACGTCGGGTTTCTCATCATCTTGGTGATTGCGTTTGCACTGTGTCCTGATGAGGAACAGATGCTGTGGAATCAGCTAGAATTTAACAAATGTGTGTGCGACGACATTGAATGACAGGAAAGACGCTGATACATTGTTCTGTGGCCCTCGATCTTGTCAGGAAAGAGTCTCTTGGGTTCTTCTGTATGCTTGGTGCCAAGCAGAGTGAAAGACCTGAATCAAAGCACTTTTAGGGATAGACTTCACTGGTTGGCGGGGGGAGGAGGAGGAGGAGGAAGAGGGTAAAGCTGTATCTGAGACATCTGGTTACCTCCCCACCCACCTTGGCAAAGAGAAGCAGCAATGAGCCACCGCTCCTCCTAACAAGAACACCTGGATAGGCAAGCACTCCCAGCTGGGCTCCTGGGAACGAGCCAGTACAATTCTTTTATCATTGTATCTTATACCACTGGTTCTCAACCAGATTTTGCCACCTCAGGGGACACTTGGCAATGTCTGGAGTCATTTCTGCTTGTTACAACTGCATGGTTGCTACTGGCATCTATCCAGTAGGGACCAGGGATGCTGCCAAACTTCCTACAATGCCCAGAAAAGGCCTCCGGCAACAAAGTGGTCAAAATGGCAACAGTGCAGAGGTTTGAGAAATTCTGTTTTGTGGGACTGTGGCTTTTGGCGTATGTTTTTCTTGGTCACAGATGCTTTTCTGAGAACACATCTTTGGGGTTGGCTTACATGGGAGTGTTTGTATGAGACCCTTGCAGCTCCCCAAACATGCCAGGGCACCCTTTCCCCTCTGGGACCTTGTGCGAGCTCAACTCTTCCCCTTGCTAATTCCCTTTCCTCCTTCAGGCCTCAGTTTGGAGGTCATCTCCTCCAGGAAGTCTCTCCTAATCTCTCCTTTCTCCAAGAGGCCACTGTGGTA